ACAGCCTGGGCAGAATAGAGACCCTTTCTCTACAAAAAGTTAAATTAGCCACACATGGTGGTGCATACCTATAGTCATACTTACTCAGGAAGCTGAGGCAGGAGGATCACTAGAGCCCAAGAGTTTGAGGCTACAGTGAGCTACGAATGCCATTGCACTCCAGCCTAAGTGACAGAGAGAGACCCTGTCTCCAAAAAAAAAAAGTTGATTTTTAAAAAAAGGTGACCTAACAGACAAACTTAAAATATTGAAACAGCAAACTTGGGAGAGAAGAAAGAAAACTAGCTTAAAGAGCTACAGTCTTACTTTCGTATCAGGTGTTAAAAGTTGATAAATCAAAATATGGTGGTAAAAGCACATTACTTAGGCTTAAGAAGGTAACAATCTAAGAATTGAATAGAAACAGATGAAAAAAATTAAAAGGTTCCATCTGTGAGCCTTGAGGAGGTGAAGGAAACCACTGTTTTTCAACAAATGTCCTCCTGTATATTGCATTTGTTATCAAGTGCATGGATCATTTGGACAAAAATAATATTCTATCACACATTTCAGAAAAGACAAAACACTAAAATTGTCACTAAAAATTAGAAGTAGCAGCCAAATGTTATAGTCGGAATTGTATTTGAGAGTAGGATAAAATCTTTTTTCTTATAAAATCATGTTATTCAAATGAAAGTTTTTTACAAGAATGTTTGCAATAGAGTAAAGATGGGAAAGTTTACTGAAGCTAGGTAAGTTTCTTCTTTATAATTCCCCATTTTCTGATTTATGTACAAAAAGCATGTATTCTATTTATAATCAGAGGCCTTTTAAAAATTTAATGTGATCAGTATTCAGTGTGCCAGGTTGCCCAATGTCTCCACACACCAGCCTGATACAGGAGATTTAGAGGACAGCAATAATGAATGAACACAGTGGTTTTCAGGGGCCAGGTGTTTTAACATTCAATCTGCTCCCTTGTTACACTAATTTTTAAAAAATGTTTATTTAGAGACATGTTGGGGGTAATAGGGGCTGCAGGTGGGCACCACCACGCCCTGGTCATTGTTACTCTAAAGGAATATCTGAATACCACAGGAGACCTGAACATCACAGGAAAGGTGTGAATGTTTGGCCTTTAGGGGGTTCCAGAAAGTGATTAGATCATATACCCCAGAACAGTCTTACCTGAGAAAATGACAAAAGGCTTCTTAGATGTCCAGGCTCTGTTTCCCATTAAGTTCATTGTTTAGCTAAGGAGGTGACATGGGGGAAAGGTGGGGGTGGGAAAAAGGAAAACTGTTCCCTAAGTAGACAGCAACAGATTAGAGGTCCAGTCCAGGGTCCACCATTAAATAACCACATGACGACTGGGCACGGTGGCTCACACCTGTAATCCCAGCACTTTGGGAGTCCAAGGCGGGCAGATCACGAGGTTGGGAGTTCAAGACCAGCCTGACCAACATGGTGAAACCCTATCTCTACTAAAACTACAAAAAATTAGTCGGGCATGGTGCGTGCCTGTAATCCCAGCTACTCAGGAAGCTGAGGCAGGAGAATCCCTTGAACCCAGGAAGTGGAAGTTCCAGTGAGCCAAGATTGAGCCATTGCACTCTAGCCTGGACGACAGAGTGAGACTCTGTCTAAAAAAAAAAAAAAAAAAACAGAGAAAATAACCACATGACTTTCCCAAAGTCACATTATCACCCTTCCCTGGCCTCAGTTTTCTAGTCAAAAACAAAACAAAATAAAATTGACGCTTGTCATCCTTAAATCCTTTCATTTCTGATGTATAAAGCCCTCAACTCCTAACAGAGTCAAGAAGAAGATTCTTTTTCTGGCTAGGCATAGTGGCTCATGCCTGTAATCCCAGCATTTTGGGAGGCCGAGGCAGGAGAATCACTTGAGTCCAGGAGTTTGAGACTGGCCTAGGCAAATAGTGAGATCCCATCTCTACCCTGGTCAAATAAAAAAATTTTTAAAAGGGCTGGGTGTGGTGGCTCACACCTGGAATCCCAGCACTTCGGGAAGCCAAGGTGGACGAATCACAAGGCCAGGAGATCAAGATCAGCCTGGCCAACATGGTGAAACCCTGTATCTACAAAAAATACAAAAAAATCCTGGGCATGGCGGTGCGGGCCTGTACTCCCAGCTACCCAGGAGGTTGAGGCAGGAGAATCATTTGAACTAGGGAGTCAGAGGTTGCAGTGAGCCAAGATTGCACCACTGCACTCCAGCCTGGTGACAGAGCGAGACTCCATCTCAAAAAAAAATAGAAAGAAAGAAATTCAGAGTACTCTTGGCAGATTGCTTATCCTGAAAGACAATAGTCACTGACAGATTCTTAAGCTCTCTTAGTCACTTGGCCAAGAAACTTCCAGGGATCAGGCCATCAGATCAGACCAGGCTTACACATTTTTTTTTCCAGCTGTCATTTTCATTGACTACCCAAAGTGAAATGAAGATGCACTCTGCTTTGGATTGGAGAGTGGTTGGGGGATGGGCAGAGAGATCACAGCAACTTTCTCTACATCCAAGGCTAACTTCTACTTTTGCCCTCATTCACAGGTAATTCTGAGCTACTCCAATCATTCAAAACACAATGTACAAAAGAAATTTTTTTGTTTTGCATTTGTTTTGGGGTGATTTTCTTTCTTTTTTTTGAGACAGAGTTTCGCTCTTGTTGCCTAGGCTGGAGTGCAATGGCTCAATCTCGGCTCACCGAAACCTCCGCCTCCCAAGTTCAAGCGATTCTCCTGCCTCAACCTCCTGAGTAGCTGAGATTACAGGCATGTGCCACCACGACTGGCTAATTTTGCATTTTTACTAGAGATGTGGTTTCTCCATGTTGGTCGGGCTGGTCTTGAACTCCTGGCCTCAGGTGATCCACCCACCTTGGCTTCCCAAAGTGCTGGGATTACAGGCATGAGCCACCACAACCAGCCATTTCAGGGTCTTTTTCACCTAGCTTTCCTCAGATATTAGGCAAGCCTAGCTCTTATTTCATATTTTTAATAACCACAGTTATACTGATCATATACCGTATGTGTATGTGTATATATTTATAAACATAGTTTAGAAATCATGCGGGACCAGGCATGGTGGCTCAGGCCTGTAATCTCAGCACTGCAAGAGGCCAAGGCAGGCAGAACACTTGAAGTCAGGAGTTCAAGACCAGCCTGGCCAACATGGTGAAACCCTGTCTCTACAAAAAAAAATACAAAAATTAGCTGGGTGTGGTGGCATGTGCCTATCGTCCCAGCTACACAGGGGGCTGAGGCAGGAGAATTGCTTGAACCCAGGAGGCAGAGGCTGCAGTGAGCCGAGATCGCACCACTGTACTCCAGCCTGAGCAAGCTCCACTGCACTCCAGCCTGAATGAGAGAGCAAGAGCCTGTCTTAAAAAGAAAATCATTTGGGAGCAAAAATCACCCCTCAAATTATTGACAATTATTGGTTCTCTTTTTATTTGTATTTATCACTAAGTCCATGGCAATAAACGCCACAATAAAATATTTGAAACTGCATTTACCTAATTAAAGTTAATATATAATGCCAGCTCTTTTGGACCTGAATGCACTATATAAACTGTCATCCTTCAGAACAATATCATCACATTTAGAAAAATGTCATGTAATTACATCACACATTTGACTCCACCAGCTACTTAGAAGTCAAAGCACTGAGCACATGTCCAAACTATCACTCAATAACCCAGAGAAGACCAGCTGTGGCATAAACGACCATCAATTCAGTTTCAGCATCTCAGCACTGCACCAACCCAGAAACAAAAAAAGAACTCCTTGAACAAGATGTCAACAGCTTTGGGATGGGGAAAGAATAAGAACTGGTCACCGGTATGAGTAAAAGGGCTCACCATAATAAACTTCATCCATCATTGTGTATTCATTCTTAGGGTTCAATTAATGCCAAAGAAATGCTTGATTAAACTTTTTAAATTGTATATAATGTCTTCACTTTCGAACTAAGGCTGCTCTATGAGCTTTAAAATGAAGTCTAAGTCAAGTTCTTAGGAGAGGAGTTTCCCTTGCTGGCAGTGTAGGCAATCCTGAAGCAAGTGGTCAGGCTGGCACAACCTCCATCCACGGCTTTGATAGCCGGACCCTGTGACCTCACTGGAACATTTCAAGTTCCAGCTTGGTTTGTCCTGAGGAATGTAGTTATCTTAGGGTACCACAATTGGAACAATCTCCTCTAGTGTTTGAGAATATCTTTTCCTGTGGGGTGTAATTTGAAAATTTGAATCTAATGTAAAATTCATGACATCAACAAGCTGGAACAATGTGAAAGGAAGAAGAGTGACTAAGCAGGCTTGTGATTTGATGATATTTTAGGTTAACAAGTTTAATGTGATAAAACTCCTGACACAATTTCCACACAATTGCTTTGTCCAGCCCACAACTACTTCACTACACAGTTGCTAATTACATTACTGTGCTGTGTGGTCATTATGTCACGCAGCTGGGAGCAGTAAGGCCTACCAGCCACTGTTCACTTTTCCGGCTTGCTTTTCCCAAAAAGTTAGAGACTGCAGACCACCTACTCCACTAAGAGTCCCTCTGTTCCCCAGCCTCGCAGCTTTTCTCTCATTTATCTTGGTGTCACAGCCCAAAGGGCCTGGCTCTGGACTATCTGTCTGAGTGGCCAGGGAAAAGCCTAAGGATCTGTGCCTAGGAGTAGGTTTCAATCCTGCAGATTCAGGGCAAAGTCACCTGTGTGTTTTATGGAGGATGAACTTCACCACACTCTCTTCTGCTTCTGATCCCTTACAATTCCAACACCCAGAGACTCATTCCTTGCTTCCAGCTCTCCATATCTGTGAAATAACCGTGGAAGGACACGCACCATCTCTCTCTCTCTCTCCCTCTGTCTCTGTCTCTCTGTCTGCCTGTCTCTCTCTCTCTCTCTCTGACTCACTCACACACCCATACACACACACGAAGACGCACGTGGGTTGGGCACCGTGACTTGGTGTCCCCTTCGGATCCAGGCTGACTTACTTGAGGAAGTACCTCTGGCCAGTGGCGGTGAAGGTCATCTCCCAGCCCGGGGGCAGCGGCAGCTCGTCGGTCACGTCGTAGGACTGCTGGCGGAGGTGCGCGTGCTGCTGCGCGGGGCTAGCCGCAGCGCCCGCGCCGGTGCCCAGCTGCAGGGACGCGGGCGACGAGTGCGAGCGTACATGCTGGGCACCCCCGACCAGCCGAGGCCCTGGGTGGCCGCCCGACGAGTCGGTGCTAGACTGGCGCGAGTGCGAGCCCGAGTCAGGCTCCTTGAAGAAGGACTCCGGCAGGATCTTCTTCCGCCACGAGCTAGGCTTCGGGTTCATGACAGAGTTGAAGAGGGCTTCGAGGTCTGTGTCTAGGTCCTGCGTGACGTGGATCACTTGCTGCCCAGGCGGCGGGAGCGGAGGGGGCGCCGAGGCCGGATTCATCTTCTGCAAAAAGAAGGTCAGATTAGCCTTTTCTTTAAAGTCGGAGGAAGTGGGTAAGCGGGTTGAGGGTGAGAGAGCGAGACGGTGGGAAAGAGAATAGAGGGAAAAGGAAACGAGGAGACAGATAATTGCTCGCCTGGAGAGCCCAGACACTCAGCGGTAAGACCAGCAGGATGGGGGAGGGGTCTCTCCTGGCCTCGAGAATTATGCAACTTTCTTGAAGCAAAGAAGTTGCCTGGAGGAGGAGAAGGAAGGGCGGGGGATGGAGGGAGTAACTGCACTCTCGGCTTGCGGAGCCGCAGGATGGCAAAGGGAAGGTCTCAGCTTTCCAGGAAAGGCAGCCCCCCTAAAGAAGTTCAGCCCGAACCAACTCCACGACGTCTCGACTCCGGAAGCCCGGAGTCCTGGAATGGTGCTGGGAGAGCGCGCGAGCTCCAGAGGGCACTACCTGGGCGGGCAGCGAAGCTCAGCCTAAGCGCACCGCGGCCACCGTCCCGCCCGAACTTGCCGTCGGGCCTGGGTCGCTCGGGTGAGTCCCGAGATTGCGCAGCTGGAGCCGAGGCTAGGCTGACAAATTCCAACCAGACTCGGTGCCTGGCAGCCTAGGGACTTCAGCTCTCACATCCCCCGAGCTGGCCTCAGGCGCTTGCGCTCGGAGAGAAGGAGGCGCAGGAGAAGCAGACAGCGCGGCCGCAGCAGCTCCCCGGACTGTCCCATAAACAAAGTTTGGAGCAAACTCCCACCCCCAGGAAAGAGGCGGGCCCGAAAGTTGAGCTATTGAATTATGTATGACCTCCTAGTCCCGAGCCGGCCAGCCCCCGCTCGCCCCTCCTCTTCCTCCTCCTCCTCCTCCTCCCACCCCGGCTCCAGAAAACCCTGGGTGTGATGGGTACTTTACTGGGTAAGAGGAGACGGGTGCCCCCCACCCACTCCTCCCGGCTGCGCGGACCTCTCCCGCGGAGCCCTACATCTGCATTCCTTTGAGTTTACCACGGACTTGGGGCGGGATCAAAGGGAAAGTGGCCCAAGCCTGTTTCATCAAGGGGTTGTGGACCGAAACCAAGGCCGGGGGTGGCGAAGGTCACGCGGATGAGGGGCTCAGGCCTGGGTAGGGCCGGTCCCGGACACCGCGCGCTCCCCTGCAGCCAGGCTCCGAGGCCGGCAGCACCCGGAGCGCCGCACCGACCGGCGATTCTGCCCGAGGGCCGGCCTGGGTGCGCCCCGGCGCGGGGAGACACCAACAAGGCCAGCCTTTCCACGGGAGGCTGTTTAGCTCTTGTGACCATATTTGGTCTGGCGAGAAGGCATCTTGGCTGCTTGGCTCTCAATTGTCTGCTGGAGTACAGACGGTGCCCAGAAAGTGCCTCTGTGGAGATGCGGCTTCGCCAACGGCTGGGTTGTAAACAAACAACTTTCAAACCATTCACCAATCCTTAATTTCCTCTACAGGGGTGACTCAGGCCTCTAGGGATTGAGAAGAAACCGGGTCAAAGCTGGGTGCTGGAAGAGAAGAGCAATTGCGCCCCCCTCCCCCGCAACATCCGTGAGGGTTGTGGGAGGATTGGAATGTCCCTGCCGCCCTCCAGGGAGCCTGGAGCCAGGATAGAACCCGAGCAGGTGGCTGGGAGTAGTGAGGGTGCGCCAATGACCCGGAAAAAGCCACCCACCTTCCCACCGACTAGATCTGGGCGAGGGGTGGAGACCCCCTGCCTCTAGCTAAGGGGAGCAGGTCAAGCCTGGCGAAACAGCTGCGGGAAGTGGAAGGAGGCCTTGCCCTTCCGAGCAGCTCAATTCCTTTTCTCTCTGGTTCTCTCTCCACTGAGGGGAAAAGGTGCGGGGCGAGGGGGGCGTGGGGGGAATGGCGAGGTAAGCCCACCCCATCCGATTCAAATAGTTTATAAAGAAAATCAAATGAGACAATGTAAAGCACTTCGCACAGCACCTAGCTGGTTACGTAAGTGTTTGTTAAATAAAACAGAACTGCATGTTCTTTAAGTTGACGTATTGTGCCTTAATATTTTTATAGGGTAAAATAAAGTCAAAGTTAAAATCTGGAGTTGCCTTGAAGGAGAAAGTTTAAGGAAAAGACAAGGCCTCTCGTAGTTTTGCCTTGGAAAAGGTGGAATTTTGGGGCCACTCCCTTGAATGGCTGCATCCATACCCAAAACAGAACTACACCCACCAAAGTGAGCCACTTCCCCTGTTATCTGTACTTGGAGGTGTGCTCCAATTCCAGACTCCTCACAGACTGGAAAAAATTAGGACTGCCTTAAATGAAGGCAGGCATAGATGTAACATCCGGTTTTTGTTTGTTTGTTTGTTTGTTTGTTTGTGTTGAGACAGAGCCTCACTCTACTGCCCAGGCTGAAGTGCAGTAACCTGATCTCAGCTCACTGCAACCTCCGCTCCCTGGTTCACGCAATTTTCCTGCCTCAGCCTTCAGAGTAGCTGGGTTTACAGGCGCCTGCCACCATGCCCAGCTAATTTTTGTATTTTTAGTAGAAACAGGGTTTTGCCATGTTGGCCAGACTGGTATCAAACTCCTGATCTCAAGTGATCTGCCTGCCTTGGCCTCCCAAAGTGCTGGGATTACAGGCGTGAGCCACCACGCCCAGCCATGTATCATGTTTAAACATAAGCAGAGGACAGTTCCTTTCAAGAGCCTTTGAAACCAGGTGTTTTCCATGCAGCAAGTTCTCTGCCCATAGGACTGGCAAAAGGAAAGGGGAAGCTAGCACAGGTCACTCCTTGGAAAGTAGAATCTTTGCAAGCTACTCTCAGAAGCCATCACAGTTGCAATGATGGGGGAAATATGCTATCAAACTAGAAGAGGTGACTGGAACATAATGATACTAATTCAGAAGTCGCAAGGCTGACTTGATGATTAAAGAATGAGAACTTGAGGCCAGCCTGGCGAGGTGGCTCACACCTGTAATCCCAGCACTTTGGGAGGCCAAGGCGAGTGGATCATGAGGTCAAGAGTTTGAGATCAGCCTGGCCAATATGGTGAAACTTCGTCTCTACTAAAAATACAAAAATTAGCCAGGTATGGTGGCACTTGCCTGTAGTCCCAGCTACTTGGAAGGCTGAGGCAGAAGAATTGCTTGAACCCCGGAGGCAGAGGTTACAATGAACCAAGATCGTGCCACTGCACTCCAACCTGGGTGACAGAGCAAGACTCCATCTCAAAAACAAAGACCAAGAAAAAGAAAACTTGAGGCCAGCCCTATTCCAGGAAGCTCTTCATCCCAGAAGAAAAGTAAGAATCAGGGTTGGAATTGGATGGGCAAGGATGCAGTCTTCGTTTCTTTCCAAGCTTCAAGAAATAGATAGTGCAACAGATAGAGTAGATATCCGAAAGGGAAGTTGTCCTTAACACAGGAAAACTGAAAAACTCCCAGTTCCAAAATAGCATATAAGATATAATAGTGAATAAGGCAGAAAATTTGCTGTTGTCCCAGCCCTACAGCTTCAGATTAACATTTACAGGTATTTTGATGTATCAGATACTGCCCGTAAGAGGCAGCATAGTGGATAAGTATAGAGTTTCTAGAACAAAACACCTGAGTCACCTCAGACAAGACATTTAAGCTCTCTATTTCTGGGTTTCCTCATTTGTAAATTAGGGACAATAACATTACCCACCCCCACAGGATTCTAGGTTAAAACATATACAACTTTTATTTGTTGACATTTGATTTAGAACACAATCTTTGAAGCTGGTTCTACCCTCTACATTATGCAAGTAACTTATCAGCCCTAAGTTACAGTTTACTCATTTACAAGTTGGAAATGCTATATTGCTGCCTTTCAATGACCCAGCCTCATGGTTTTGTTTGTTTGTTTTTTGAGATAGAGTCTGGCTCTGACTCCAGGCTTGAGTGCAGTGGTGTGATCTCGGCTCACTGCAACCTCCACCTCCCGGGTTCAAGCAATTCTCCTGCCTCAGCCTCCTGAGTAGCTGGGACTACAGATGCGCACCACCGCACCCAGCTAATTTTTGTATTTTTAGTCGAGACAGATTTTCACCATCTTGACCAGGCTGGTCTTGAACTCCTGACCTCATGATCCACCCACCTTGGCCTCCCAAAGTGCTAGGATTACAGGTATAAGCCACCGTGCCTGGCCAGGCTCATGTTATTTATACCTTATATAGCCCCTTCCACTTAATCTGGACTGGGCCAGTGATTTGCCTTACCCAGAAAAATGCAGCAGTGAAGTTATGCCAGTCCCCCGCCTTCCCCATCCCATCCCCTAGGAAGGTAGGTTTCCACTTTGTACTTTTAGGATACCTGAGCCACTAGGTAAGAAGTCCAGTTACCCTGCTGGATAAACCACATGGAGAAGGAAATGCCCTGAGATACTTGGAGAGAGGAAAAAGTCCAGCTGCCCAGCACCTGAGCTGAGCCCACCCTCAGCCAACCCCACCAGCTGATTGCAAACACACCAATAAGACCAGCAGAGCTGCAGAGCCAAGCCCAGCCTAGATTGCAGAACTGTGAGCAAATAAAATGGATATTGCTTTAAGCCACAAAATATTGAATTTCTTTTTAGTGTAGAATGTGCATTCTAAGAATTTAAAAAAAAAAAAAAGCAAATTTTTTTCTTTTTTTTGAGACAGGGTCTCACTCTATGCCCAGGCTGGACTTGATCTCGGGCCACTGCAAACTTCGCCTCCCAGGTTCAAGCGATTCTTGTGCCTCAGCCTCTCAAGTAGCTGGGGACTACAGATGTGCACCACTACACCTGCCTAATTTTTTTTTTTTTTTTTTAAGACAGAGTCTCACTCTGTGGCCCAGGTTGGAGAACAATGGCAAGATCTTGGCTCACTGCCACATCTGCCTCCCAGGTTCAAGCGATTCTCCTGCCTCAGCCTCCTGCGTAGCTAGGATTACAGGCGAGTGCCACCACTACCAGCTAATTTTTTTGTATTTTTAGTAGAGACGGGATTTGTTTTTTGTGATCTGTGTGATCTGACCTTGTGATCTGTCCACCTCAGCCTCCCAAAGTGCTGAGATTGCAGGCGTGAGCCACTGTGCCCAGCTTAATTTTTGTATTTTTTTTAGTAGAGACAGGATTTCACTATGTTGGCCAGGCTGGTCTCGAACCCCTGCCTCAAGTGATCCGCCTACCTTGGCCTCCCACAGTGCTAGGATTACAGGCTTGAGCCACCTCACCTGGCCACAGATAAAGTTTTTAACATAAAGCCTGCTTAACATACTAAAGCACTCAACAAATAATGGCTGTTTTGTCTCATGGAGACCTAAAGAATAGGTATTATATTCTACGTCCCCGTTTTACAGATAAGAAAACTGGATTGATGAATTTGAAAGTATTTTGTCCAAACATATACAATGAAATCATGTACATTAAAAAACCTGAGATTTCAGCCTAGGGTTTGTAACTCTAGAGCAGAGTGCATTCTCCAGAGTGCATCCTGTGTCGGCCAGGAGTTCCTCCCTGGTATTGCCATTTTAAATCGTGTGATACCTTTTGTCTGACTATCTCACAGAGAAACTCTATAGTTTTTATAAGATAATCAGTTGAGAGCACACTCCTGCTGATAGATATGTAAATCTTCCATTTGTAAACACTTTCCAAGTTCATCCCCTGCCTCCAAATCCTCCCCTCAACACACTTCCTACTGAAGATTCTCTTGAGTCATCCCTTTCTCTTCCCTCTCTGTTCACATCCAATCAGCGGCAAGTGCTGTTGATTCTTTCTTCTGGTGTCCCCCAAATCCATCCTTTCCCACTCCCGCAACAAGACCTTATCTCAAAATAATTGAAGTAGCCTCCTAACTGGTA